CTTATATTTTTCTTACCTGCACAGATTTTCCTCATAATATCTCTAGTACTTGACTATGCTTATTGGTTTCTATGTGTTTTCCATTACTGTATTACAAGTGTGACTAGTGGAAAATGATACCGAGTCTTAGTTCTGAACCTCCGTGTTGAGTGCCTTGCCTGAGAATAAGAGAGGAGGGATGGATGGTGGAAGGCAGGCAGGCAGACAGAAGAGCTCTTCCAACCATTGTAAATGCCAGTGTGTTTTCTTTCTAACACTCTGCAGGTCTTTCTTTTTCTCTTTATGGTATCCCTGTGGGTGTGTGTTCAATGAACACAAGATAATGCCAACAGGCTGAATTTCTCCGATTGATCAGAGACCAATTTCTCCAATTGATCAGAGACCAAGAGAATGTCATCTTTGTGTTCGTCTAAATCTAGGACTAGAGCAGCCCTAAATATTTTTAGTTGGGAAAGAATTCCACTGTGCTGTACTTGCATTTAGAGAGAGGTCAAGAGAAACAACAAAAACTCGTAGTTTGGGGGTCTTTTTTCGACAATTTGAAAGCCAAAAGCAGTTCAAAACATGGCCATGATTTCTTAACTCTTTTGGGGGGTAAAACTTGATCTCACAGGTGACTGGTCTGAAGATTAACAGAGTTAAAATTTAACTAGGAAGGTAATTCTGCTAAAATTTAAAAAAAATAAACAATTGAAAATTAAATAGTATATCTCTGTCCACGTATGTGACTGGTCTGAAGATTAACAGAGTTAAAATTTAACTAGGAAGGTAATTCTGCTAAAATTTTAAAAAAATAAACAATTGAAAATTAAATAGTATATCTCTGTCCACGTAAAACAAATTTTGATCATGTCTTTGGATTTATTTGTTTGACCTCTGTTGGGTGGGTATAGAGAGATGAACATAAATAATACTTTTCAGGGGAAAAAAGGGCCAGCTACTCCTAGAGTCTTTCGTAATGTTGTTTGTATTTTTTTTTCAAACTAGTTGTTCTGAAATATGTTCCAAGAGTGTTAAAAGTTGTAAAAATAAAAGTATTTAATAGCTGCATAATATTTTAGTCAACAAAGTACTTTACAGGTTTCATCTGATTTACTCCTGATAACAAACCTATAGGTTAAGGCTTTATAATCCCTGTTTTACAAACAAGGTTTTAGGCTTAGAAAGATTAAGTAATTTGCATAAAACATGTCGGCAGTAGAGTCAGACTTAAAAACAAGATTAGTAGCTCTAAGTCCTAGGCTTCTTATAAGAGATTTAGTAAACAGGCATTCCTCACTTGTGAATGACTGTTTGGGGTTCATGACATAAACTGATGAAGGTTGAAGGAACAGTAAAAAGTGTAATGATGCTAAATGTCTGTAAAGGTGATGTATTAAGAATAACAAGAACAGAAAATCCATAGTTCTGTAGGTTTTTCAGTTGGTTGAGCATCAAGTCGTATTTCTCAGTGAACCATCTGCTTCCAGATTTCAAACTCCTATCCATATATGAGCCCCTCATCAGTGGACTGAAAAGCACATGCAGGGAACCAACCAAGCACGCCACATACGTGTGGGTATATGCATGTGGTTGTATGTCAAGGTATTATTAAATCTCCTCCTCAAGATGAATTTTGATGGGGCAAAAACCCAGTCAAATTAACACTGTTATTCATGAGTATACCAGAGAGTCAGTGCCTTCTCCAGTATCATTAAAGATTCAAGGGAATCTGAATAAAGGCGTTGGTGTTTCCTCTTGGTTCCCTACTGTATCTCTTCAGCACTTTCTTGTTTTCCTTTCTGGCCAGGCAGGTGCTTAACTAGAGTGACCAGGAAGAGTGTGTGTTGTTTTTGACATGGAGAGGCTTCAGTTTGGATAGAACATCTAAGTAGGGTTGGGATCAGAACCCAACCCTATTTCCAGTGGATGAAAGTTAGGGTTCATGCAAAAGGAAAGGTGCAGGGAGGCAGAGCTGTGGATAATGTGGATGTCCCTCCTGTCTAAAGCTGTCCAGGGTGTGCTGGGGACACCCCGAATGTGCACAGGAAAGACATGGGCAAGACGACAGGAAGGGTGTCAGTAGTACGGAGTTACAGTGAGCAGATGGTCAAGTTAGAATCTAGAGTCAGGGATCACAGGGATCATGGCTTCAGGGAAGGTCCGTAAATCCCTATCCTGGGTTGCAGGAGTAGTTTATAACCTCTAATCGTATAACTAATCCATGAGTTATGTTTTAAAAATGCTTGGCCTTACATGCACACCAAGAACGACAGTCATGTGGCTCTTTCTGCCCAACCACATGATTTTGTGAAATCTTTCAGATGCCTCTACCCTGAGGTCATCACGACCAGAATAATGTAAATAAGGATGCAGATTTAAGGGTTTTCTGTGCACTGCTCCTACCAGGGTATTTGTGATAATGTGATCAGTGGAAGAACCGCTGTTAAACCAGAGTGATTCTTAACTATTCCCAAGAAGAAGACAGTTTTGCTAAGAAGACAGTTTTCACATAAGCAACAATTTTCTATCATCCTATGATATTTTATGGGCCTTCACTTAAGCACACAGATATTTATTGTCTTCAACGCACAAAGTGTGTGGAATCTTAGCAAGAGTAGCTGAAAACTATAAATAAATCACACCTATGGGTTCTATAATACCCACATATTAATTACTCTTTCTAAAAGAGAGAAAGAAAACTCAGTGTCATACAGCTCCACATGGTGAGCCTGTTTTTCTGCATCTTGTGTTGAATGGAGAGGAGTCGGATGTACTGAAAATGCACCGTGTAGTGATCTTTTTCGCATGGAGAGTGTTAGAAGGAACAGCAGTGACCACCATGTCATTACACGTAGAAGGGTGGGAAGGGGTCGCACAACAGTCCCGCCTAGAAGTTAAGGAGGGACTGAAGGAGGCAGAGGGAACGTGTCGCCCGAGTGCCGTCCTGGGACGTCTTTGTCCAGCCTCCTCCCTCCCCAGGCACACAAGCTCTGCGGCCTGGGGCTTTCTGTTGTTCATCGCTGTATCCTCAGCACCTGGAAGCGTGCCCGGCACCTGTTAGATGCTTAACAAATAATACCTAAATGAATAAATGAGTGACTACATAACTTACACAGAAATGAAATTGATACTCGGTATTACATAGTGCTTTTGGAAGGCATGAGCTGGTTTATTTTTATGACCTACTATTAAATTAATATTTTAGTGTTATTATTGGTATTGGCTCTTCAAGTCACTAGTGAGTTCCTGGTCCCCATGTGAACTTTGGGCATCGAGGGGAGAATGGATCTCTGAAGGTGGGAGAATGGGATTTGTAGAGAGTTGGTGAGGCTGGGAGTGGGAGGCAGCAGGTGTCAGAAGTAATCACTTGTGAACACACACACACGTATACACATACATGCCCTACATAGCCTATGGCTTGGCCCCAAATCCTGCTAGTTGATTACTATTTCAACCTATGTTTTTGACCTGCAATTTCAATCCTGAATTCCTCCTGGCCAGTTAATCCATTAACTGCTGGAGTGAACCTTTGGTGTTTTCAGCTTCTGAACTTGCTGCCACCAGTCAAACTAATTAGCTCATTTGTACCCTTATCCTGCAGGTCCTGAGAGAGGTTATTTTCTTATTTGCATTGAACAGTACGAATGAAACAGGGCAAAAAGAGTTTTGATCCACCGATTGGGGTCCCAGTCGTGATTGCAGGGGCTTGGACCATAAGATAAAAATCCATGTATTCTTTATGCAACAAATACCTGGGGAGTTTCCACATGTCTGGCGCTGTACCAGGTGCTGTGGCTGTCCAGCTGTACTCTCTGGAAGGCTCAGAGAGGAGGAAGATGGGCACGTGTGCGACAGCAGCGTGGTGTGTAAAACCTCCCCAAGAGTGTCCCACAAGGCCCAGGGGAGCCCAAAGGAGACAGTGACAGCCACAGCTGGTGAGGGTGATCGGAGAAGGTACTGGACCCAAGTCTTGAAGGCTGAATAGGAGTTGGGTGAAAAGTGTGTGTTTTGTGGGTCAGGGCAAAGGGAATGTTGGACACGTCGCACCTGAGAAGGCGTGTTGGGAAGATTCGGGTTTTCCTCATCACAGCATTCTAAGTAAAAACGTTGCTGATGGTCAAATAAGGAACCCTGAAAATATCTAGGCAAACTTAAGCCCTCGCTACTCAGAGTGTGGGCTGGTGACCAGCAGGTTAGAAGTGCAGAGTCTCAGGCCTGCCCTACCTCCTGAGCCAGACCCTGTGTCGTAGATGCCCAGACGCCTCGCGTGTGTTCAAGTTTGAAAGTGCTAAACTGTTCTTTATGCAAGATGGAATCCTCTATTGGAGGAGTTCAGGAGCATTTGTTAAGATGGAAACTGATCACTGAATGAGGCAGTAATGTGTGGACTTCATTCTGACTACAACATGGCAATCTATAGGGTCTATAGCAGCCTGTTCACTCTGGGACTATATCATTCAGCTAGAGATTGACCACCATCTACACCAGCTGCTGTGACAGGGGCAAAGGATTGCCTGGGATTAGGTGTCTGACCTTGGTCATAGATGTCTGACTCCTCCTACGTGCCAGTCACTATGCCCTGTACTCCCACGGACACTGTCCCATTTCCGTGCCTGCTGAGTGAGCAATGGTAACACCTTACACACGGGGAGTCTTGTTAGGATCCAAAGAAATAGTGTGGATCATAGTGCTTTACGCATGACAAATGGAATAGATTATTATTTAAATGCTTGCATATTTTAAAAATGCATATTTATAGAGTATCTAATGATGCTAAGACCTGTGATAAATTTACCTAAGTTCAAAGATATTCGTTATAATTAAAACAGGCAAATCAAAACAGATACATCTTATGCTTGTGTAAAGCAAGTGATGTCAAGATGAGATGAAAACAAACACTTAGCAACACATCTGTCTAAGGATGTATGGAAAAGCGTCAGGACACCGCAGGCTTTTGCCCAGCTGGATGCTGGTGCTGTGGTGTCCATCACGGTGACCCTCTCTATTCTGCTTCCCAGGCATGCGCCAAGGCAATGATCACGGCACTCAGTACCGCTCAGCCATCTACCCCAGCTCGGCTCAGCAACTGGAGGCAGCCCTGAGGTCCAAGGAGGACTACCAGAAGGTAGGGCCCCCCGCCTCGGCCCTGGGCTCAGGCCAGATCCCAACTCTAGAGCGGAGTCTGTTTTTCCACCTGGAACTGTTGTTCCATTTGCACAGTGTTGAAGAAATTACTGTCAGCCTCTTGGAGGGGGGCCATTGTGCCCAATACAGGTGCTGCATGAGATTTTAAGAGTGGACCTTTATGTATTTGTCCTTAAAATCAACTCATCCAGATGGATGTGCAGCTTGTTAAAATAGTCTTTCTCTCTCTCTGTTTCTCTCTCTCTCTCTCTCTCTCTCTATATATATATATCTGAATCTCTTTCCTTTTTCTATGTTAGTTGCTAGCTAGGGCTAGTGATTGTCTATGGAGGAGCAGAGGCAGATTTGTGGGGAAGGGAAACTAAGTTTTAGGAATGTGGAGTTTGAGGTACCCATGATACGGGCACCAGAGTGGTTGTCGTGAGGAGATGTGGGCTGTTTCTGCCCTGTAGGGAGGGTTGCTGTGACTGTCACCTGTGTTAATGCTTGTGACGCACAGCGCCTGGCACATAGTAACTGCTCCATGAACGAGAGCCCTTATTATTGGGAGTTAGCAACTTATATTTGGTAAATGATAAGGTCACGTGGGAAAAGTGATAAGAGATGACAGGAGGTGGCGGCTCAGGACCAGAGGAACACCAACATTCGAGAAGTGGGTGGGGAGGCCTACCCTGGGCAGGATGCTGTGCTAGGCCCACAGAGAAGCAACCCCAAGCAGAACTTAAAAAGAAGACATTCTTCTTTTTTGTAATTAATACTAAAAGTCACATGTGGTTAATGCTGTATATAAATTGCCTAACGTAATGATTCGTAGTCCCTTAAAGTGCCAACAGTAGTACTAAGGGACTGTGTAAGGGCATTAACTTCCCTCCAGAATATCTTGAAATGAGATGATATTCTGGAGTTCACAATGAAGACTTTAAGATCAAAAGCTCAGTGCCCTCCATGTGATGGTGAAGAGGCTTACTTGTGTTTCGTTTTCCAGGTCCTTCCACAGTGTAGTTTCTTACCCCTAGTTGTGAATGGAAACCATGTGGATTTTCAATAACCGATGTCCATAGGAGATATAATTTAGATATTAATTAATTAACTGTTTTGATCATTTTTCCATTGTTTTTGTAGATTTTGGAAATGTTAATCTTATTATATTCTAGACAGTTGTTCTAACCAAATGCTCTTTGGGCGTTCTGCACTTAAGCTATGGGAATTAAATATATACATATAATTATATATATAATTACTTTGCTTGGCTTTTTTTTTTTCCTTTTTGTCTTTTTTCGTGACCAGCAATGGGATCGCAACCCTCGGTGTCGTGCCCGCACTGCGCTCAGCCAGTGAGCAGACCGGTCTCTATATGGGATCCAAACCCTCGGCGGGAGCGCTGCCCTCAACTGAGTGCGCCACCGGGCCGGCCCCAACTTTGCTTGGCTTTTTTTTTTTTCCTTTTTGTCTTTTTTCGTGACCAGCAATGGGATCGCAACCCTCGGTGTCATGCCCGCACCGCGCTCAGCCAGTGAGCAGACCGGTCTCTATATGGGATCCAAACCCTAGGCGGGAGCGCTGCCCTCAACTGAGTGCGCCACCGGGCCGGCCCCAACTTTGCTTGGCTTTTAAGAGTAGTGTATATATTTTTTTCTCATCAAGACTGGGGACTCCTGTGCTCCAGCATCCAAATATGCATCACTGTTCACATGCCCACATGTAACTGCTTTATCATCCACTCTGGGAACAAATACTATCATGTTTCTTTTATTTTACCACATCAATAAAACTGGCCCTAGATTCCACTGAGAGGTGAGTAGAAAGGGCAGCCTTTCTCCCCCATCTAGTTGACGGAAGGCAGAGTCTTGACTGCGGGCCAGCGCGTGAGGGCTGCTCAGCCTTCTGCTGCAATGCGGTGGTCTCTCCTCTGCCGTCCGCTGAAATAGCCCATGTGACTAGTGCAATGGAGGGACTGGATATTTACTTTAATTCATTTAAATTTATATTTAACTAGCTACACGTAGCTAGTGGCTGCCGTATCAGACAGTGCAGCAGTCCAGTAAGGGTAGAGAGTATACGTGCGTGCATGTGTGCACATGCGTGTGCCCGTGCACTGTGGAGAGGCAGGAGCATGTCAGTCTGGCTCCCCAGCTGGGAGCCTCAAGACTCCAAGCCTTCTACTCTTGGGTTGGCTTATCCCAAGGGCAGGGGACCACATGGAACATGGGTCCCCCTGCCTATCAGAGGTGCTGCACCAGGAATGACCTATTCCTTTCTGGAGGAATGAACAAGGGCCAGGTTGTTTTCCTTTCCAGGAATCAAAGTGTCTCCTTGGGTTCTGCTCCTGGAGAGCGGTAGGGCTAACTGTGCACCTGCACCCAGGTAAGCACTGTGATTTTTGCTTAGCCTGGGTCCCACGGAGAGCAGAGCTGGGGACAAAGGCTTGTGTGTGAAGATTTACTGGGATGGTGCCAGGGAGCAGGAGTAAGGGGCTGGGGGCGTGGGAAAGGAAAGCAGGAAGACTCAGTGCAAAGTGGCCCTGATGCCAGTAGAGGCTTGAGCCTTATGAAGTGGCCAGTCACTCCAGGGGAAGAAAAGGAAGCATATTTCCATTGGATCCATTGCCCATGGGTCACTCTGCACCTCTGGGTTGCACAAGTGTGGCCTCAGGACATTGTCCCCTGGGACAGGAGACAAGAGGCACATGGCGTGGGGTGAAGGTGGGTGCTGCATGTGCTGCAGCAGATGAGAGTTTGCACAGAACTGGCCTGCAGAGGGTAGGGCTGAAGGGGCATCAGCGGTGTCTGACGTGGTCGTCTGCAAGGGGTGATGCCCACCCCAGTCCAGGGGAGACAGCTGATGACAGTGGCTCCAGGGTGATGGATCATGACTGAGTGACTTTCTGGGGCTTCTGTTAGAGCAGAGAAAGACAAACAAGCTTAATGCTCAGCTGGGCATCCTGCTACAATGGTACGAGCTATATAATACATAGTTACATATACAGTTTGTGTAATGTAATTATATATATATATATATATATATAGTGCGTGCATGTGTGTGTGTGTGTGTGTATAAAACTACATATAACAGTAATAATAACATGGAATAGCAACAACAGTACTGAGTACTTACTACAGGCTAATTACTGTTTTAAGCATTTTACATAAATGGAGTCATTTCTAAATCTTTGGTTATATTTATCTATATACATACATGGATGTAATGTATGTTTAGATATAGGTACGTATGTGTCTCTCTGTATCTTTATATGAAATTGTATGCATTCATGTATTTCTGAGACCCGAGTTTCTAGTTTTGCAACATGAATTTGTAACTGTTCATTTGGTTGGTGTACTTGAAAATGTAAACGCACACACACACACACACAAGAAATCAGTAATTTGCAATGCCTGTGAAAGGTGATGTAATTAGCTTTTATACCATAAAGAAGTCCATCTTTTCTTTCGTATTTAACTTAAAATGTCATGTGGTTCCTGATAGATCTCACGAAGTAGGAGGAGCTCCTCAGCTCTCACCAGCTGCTCCGGTAGCAGAAAGCAGAGAGCTAAGGCAGTGTCCCCTGGAATTAATTGGCTTTCCTGGGTTTTAAGTCTAGGGTGACCCTGAACAAATTTCTGAAATAGCAGATCGTTTAACCTTCGGAGAGTTGTTTCTTAACATGAAACATTAGGGTCTAGAACTCTGAAATCTTGTTAAAAACCTTGAGTTTTAGTTCTAAGAGTGGGGAAATTCTGCAAATGACTCTGTATCTGCTGTTTTCCCCTTTGAAGGTTGGCACTTGTGGCCCCGTCACTGCCTTCTGGGAGTTCATCTCACTCGAGCCTGGTGGGACCCCATGTGCTGACTGTAACACTGGCTTAGGTTACTGTCTTCGCTAGTCTGGCCCCAGCGGCCCCCTAGTAACCAGCTTCTTCAGCAAGTTCTTTGCACATGAAGTTGAGAGTGACAGTTTGCTTACCACAGAGCAGCCATTTGAACATAAAATTAGCTGATTTTATCACAGGGACCAATTGTTGAGCTAATTAGATGTGCAGTACTGCTGAGGAGCCAGAAACCAAAAGCGATTTTCCATCTAAACTGTGGTTTTCTGCAAAGTTGGCTGGGCTGTGGATCCCAGGTTCACCAATGCATGCAGGAAAGAAAAATGGCAGAAGCAATTAGGGATGCTAGTTTCTAATCAGGTTAGAGCAGGCAGGGAATGTGCAGGATCAAGTCCTCAGGAGCGGAACTTGACCTTCACATGGGGTGTGCTGACCTTGAAAAGGCTGGATTCTGCTCACAGCACTGGAAAGCTGCTTCACGTCTTTGGTGAGCTAAGGACTTTCTCTAAAATGTGGTTGTGCTCTTGCCTTCTGAAGCAAAGACTTTGTAATCTTTTCCTAACCTCCTTTTATATTTAAAACTTTTTCTTCATAGTTTCAGTAGAATTATTTGATTATGGCATTAATTGGAGGAGATAATCTAATGTATTATTAATTGTTTTGGGGTTATCAAATGTGGACAATTTACCTCCCAAGTGTACCTGTTGTGACAAACATTTTCTAATATCCTAAGCTGGATCATGTCCTCCAGTCAGGGTGGGTGATGGTCCACATGTGACTGTTCCATCCTGAAAATGTGACTCTTCCTCATTTAGGAATTAAATCCTTTGACCACTGATAGACTATGTTTGTTGAAGCATGAAAGACGTTGAACGAATCAGAAGATAGTTTTCCTGGCTACACGAACTAGTTCCTTCCAACTCCTCCAACTTCATGAACAGTGAGCACATTTCCTCTGGATATTTCTTTTATTAAAAAGAGAGAAGAAAAGCAGGTTATCTTTTGCATGCATTTTATATCATATTAATGTCTACTAAGAATAAAACCTTTCTGAAGTGAATGCTAAATTACCCACTATCTTTCAAATATAAAACAGTGCTTTAAATTCTGTCTCTGTCAGTCTCTCACTTTGTTTGTTTGTTTGTTTGTCCATCCATCCATCCATCCACCCACTCACTATCCATTCATCCATCTATGCATGCATCCATCTCTGTCTTCATAGCTATAATCTTTAAATGCCTGCCATAATTTTTATCTTCAATTTCAATTATCTAGCA